TCCATAAAATTAAGTAAGCAGCGCGGAACTGGCTGGAGTGGATTGGCGATAAGCTATGATGATGAGTAAGAAGGGCCTAATGGAGTCAGATTGGCACAAACAAGACACTTGAATCCCAATGTAGACTCTCACACACTCACAGGGACCCCTTCAGTCTCTTATGTCTCATACTAAAGGTTTGAAGAGGCCATTTTTGTAACAGGAGTACTAGACTTTAGTCTAGTATATGACCTACTGGGGAGGAGACTAACCAAAAACATGGCAACCTACGTAATACTATGTAGTTGTCTTGTTGCAGAGTTTGTTGGCACAGTGTAGGAAAGTTTGAGTTTCAAAACTGTGTCAGGAATTATACCAAAGACTTCACAAGTAACTGGGTGCTTGTCAATTCAGTGTTGCAAGAGTTATGAGAGAGATGCAGAAGCCACCACAATACGTGAGAATTCTGAGACAGACTCCTGGAGTGCATTAGTAGTGGACTAGAGGTTGAGTGCAGGAGGGTCAGAGTTACCACTGAAGTGAATCAGTCATCCACTCACTCAATTCATAACTCCAGATATCCAGCACTAGTAGCAGTTGTCAGTAAGCTTCTGGGTACATATGCTTAGCCTTTTGCCTGCCTTCTGGAGTTATAGATGAATGAGAGCTTGAAAAGCCATTGGTGTGCCAGAGTTATACGTGACTTTTCTAAGTCTGACTCCTCACTGGAGTGAATCAGTCCTTCACTCACTCAATTAATAACTCCAGATGTCCACAGAAGTTGTTATAGTAAGCTTCAGGGATGGATAGGTCTTTGCCTAGCATACTGGATGAATGGGAGATTTGAAAGACATCAATATACTCAGGCATGGTTCTGGATAGTCCATGCATATCCAGAACCATGTCTTGGGCAAATCTATGTTCTTGGATAAGTGGAGACTATCCAGAACCGTGCCTGGGGCAAATCTACGCTCTTGGATGCACAGAGACTATCCAGAACCGTGCCTGACCCTAACCCTAACCCATTCAGACATAGAACTAGATATTAGACACAGTTTTGGATGTGATACATGTACTAGCCTTGGCCCAGTCTACTGGAGTTACAAATGGATGAGAGAGCTTTAAAAGCCATCTATATACCAGAACGATACATGACTCTTTTAAGTCTGACTCCTCAAGTGCATTCGTGGGGAACGGACAAGTATGGAGGAGTTTGTGGAGGTGTGGAGGAGTTTGTGGAGGTGTGGAGGAGTTTGTTCTCTCTAGGGTCAATCATTCACTCCCTTAATCATTCACTCAGTCGATCATTCACCCAGCTGCAGTTGTCAGATTCAGCTATAGGGTGCAGTTTCTGTTGAAAAAGATAAGGATTGGCACATGGCACAGGACTGAAACAGGAAACACAACATTTTTTTACCTAGGTCTTACTCCAAAATGTATGTTTAAGACTGCTGTGTTGTGATATTAAACAGTAATTGTGTATGGCCTATTGGGGTTAGGAAATGATCCATAGGTTAAGTCATGATCTATGCTAAAGAGAGTTATAATTAGTTCATGCATTTCTTACTCCAAAATGTATGTTTTCAGCTGCTGTGTTTAAAATTTGATATTAAACAGTAATTGGTTATGGGGTTAGGTTTGGAATGATTTCATCCCTATAGGTTAAACTGACAAGGCCCACATGTCACTACTGACATGATATATCTGCCTGCTGCTTCTAAGCATGTTATTAGGAAAATATAATTAGTTTAAGAGGGAAACCCCACAGCTCGTAAGCATTAGGCAGGGAGTCATGCTATTAATTAGTGTTGGCTTAACGAATCGTCAACTCTGATGTTTGAGTAGAAATCAAAATCTATTCCCTACCATGGTTCCTAATTTTTCAAGACTGAAACAGGAAGCACAATTTTTTTCCCTAGGCCTCAGTATGCAAGAATGTTATTAGGGAGATATAATTAGTGTAGGGGAAAACCCTGCAGCTCTTAAGCATTAGGCAGGGAGTCAGGCTATACATTAGTGTTGGCATTAACAAATCGTTAACTCTGATGTTTGATTAGATATCCATTTAGATTAGAATAAATCTGATCTTCTCTGGATTCCATACAAAAAAACATACTATTAGTCTGTACATGACGACATTTATTTCCTGCTTGTTCCTGGCCAGATTCAGGGACTTCAAGTTTACCCATTTCCTGTGCTTGACTTTTTTGACCTCCTGTCATTCTACTAGTCAATCTGCCCACCCACGTGCTATCAACCTACTCTGTCTGAACAAACAGTCATATACACAAACCCATAGTGAAACAAACCCACCAAAAGCTCTGTTCGGAAAAATGACTGAAATGTTTCCTGGCATCCTGACTGATGTGGTAACCCCAAACCCTGGTCCAATCTTCCCCCCGATTGTCCCATGTACATAATGTAAGGAGGAGACAAACACACCAGCCGACAAGCCTGATGTTTTCCTGATGTGATCAGTGCAGGCAGGCAGGGAGAGTTGTTTTCCTTCCAGGTAGGTGTAATGAAATGACATTCTGTGGGGGTGCCATTAGGCCACAGTAAGTCAATTTGCAGGCTCCCAGGTTCAAAAAACAATTGCTACAAACTCATTTTTACCTGGGTCAAGTGACAAATACAAAATATAGGACTGGTGTAAAGTGCCTTTCCCATGGCCACAACAAGAGAGCCTGCAAGGGATTAAAACTCAAAACCTTTCAATCAGATTCTAAGTGATTTGTCAAGAACCCTAATCATACATTTAAGTCTTAGATCACTATGCCTGTTGGGATTCAAACCCAGAACTTTCAGATTCTTTCAATACCCCTAAGGCTCAACGACAATACCACCTTCCCACCCTGTTTCTTGGTACTCGAAGTTTCATGTCCTCTTGCTTTCTTATTGTCATCTTGTTTCAACATCAGAGAAACAAGGAACTAATTTGTTTCCACCCTGAAGAGGAATTGTTCTGTTTGAAAAGTGGTAATAAAATGAAATTCCGCAGCAGGGCTATTAATAGACTCAGGGCCGGAGAAGAATAACTCAGGCGTAACGAACAAGAGCAGAGAGTTGTAAATCCTGGTTAAAGGAGAGTTACAGCAGAAGGGGGAGAAATTTCACAGCGAAAAGCTGGCTCCTGGGGGTCGTTTACGCAACATGAGTGACTTTTATTGCTTGGAAGTTAAGCCAAACAAAAATCTGTCTAACTTTAAGAAGTTGTGAGGTTCACTCACTTATCCTTGAGAAGTTGTGGAGCTTCATTTGTACTTTATGTCATGTTGTTGTGTATGATGCCTCAGAAATTAGACGATCACTGTGCAGAAGGAAAATTATTGAACTCCTGATGGTTTTTCTTTAAATACCATCTCTGTAACTGTCCAGGTGTGTTAGACACTCAAATATCAGACGATAACCTCTCAAAATGAAACTGATGTTGTGTACCTTTAAATTTACCACCCTGTATAACTGTCCAGATGTGTTAGATGTCTGAGACATGTACGGTAATTGCCCCTGAATAAAACTAATCTCTTATCTAAATATCTGAAACCGAGCCCTTCATTTTACTTCAGGATCTTTAATTACTGTCTGTATAACTGTCCAGATGTGTTAGATGTCTGAGACAATGGGTGATCGCCCCTGAATGAAACCCGACCCTTTCCCGACACTTTAATTACGGCGCTAAATTGGTGCCACGGACATCGCCGCTCGCGTGACACGCTGGCGTCACTGTCTGTCTGTCAATCGTGACCAGACAAAAGTGGTGTGGGCTTTGATTAATGATTAGGCTGATGGGGACATGACATGGCAAGGATGCTGCATGGACCGCATCTCTGAGGAGATTCATACAATGTAGCTCTGGCTAGTTCAAGAACAAATGTATATATTTTACGAGTCAATCGTGACCAGACAAATGTGGTGTTGGCTGTGATGAATAGTCAGGCTGATGGGGACATGACATGAATGAATGACAGGGCAAGACTACTGCATAGACCTGACTACACAAAGATTCATACATGAATTAAGCAACAGCAACTGCTTTAAAAGTGGTACAATAAGGAACAAGACATTGTGGGGATAATATTAATGACTGAACGTACCAGGTCCTCTTCCTGTCAAAGTTTTGACTCAAAGTTGACCAAAACAGACAAGCAATGGATTCATAACGTACAGTTGTACTGAATGTGTCAGACTGTTAAGTCTTTTTCCCATGCTATGAGGCTTAGCCAAGAAGCTTGTAAGTGTCAGAAGTTTACTTGTAAAATTCATATACAGTTAAGACGTACGTGTAGTTTAAGCTAACAATGTACAACAAGTTGCCTTCACATTCTATCTTAATATCTTGGCTACAATCTTGAGTGATTATTCATGACATAAAGAAACCAATCAGAGGAAACCGCTGACCCCTGGTGAACTCTACAGAGGTCGTTGCCATGGTGACAGACGAGACGTTATTCGCTACATCGTGTCTCACATGTGGGTTAGCTGGATTAGACATCGTCTAGACGTTATGTAATTATTGCACCTGTGATGAATGTAATTCGAGACATCAGACGGGCAAGACTAATTAAAAACATTGGTTGTGGCTCTTCTTGTAATGTTTTGCTCTCCATAGCAGCCTGAATTGTACAGGATACACTTTTGATACACTTAAGTTCTTTGAGAACTTTCCCCTTGGTATTCATGATGGCTGACTGAAAATGTTGCTTTGGACTGAATTAATGAGTGAATGGATGGATGGGTGAATGGATGACTGAAAGAGTTGTAAATGAATGAATGAAGAAAGGAAGGAAGGAATAAGAAGATAAAGGAATGTAAAACAAGACAGTCAACAAATGATTGGATAGACAATGATCTAATCTTGTAACATCGTTATTTTGTTTGGACATGTTTATTTATCTTGACATTTTCAAAATCATATCCAGTTGCTTGAGTAACTGCTTTTTGGCGTATCGTATTAGCTGGATGTCTAACCTTCATCGACGTGTTTATTTATCTGTTTGTTTGTTTATTTGTGTTCCATGCAGGGCCTTGAAGTGATCGAGTCGACAAACCTTAAGTACTTCACTAAGGAGATGACTGCAGAGTTCTATGCACTGAAGGGCATGTTCCTCGCACAGATCAACAAGTGGGTTATGCTTTACTTTTCATAATTATTATAGCCCTTTTGATGCTGTAGGGGCAGTGGGTTGTTAGTCCACTGTGTCTAAGGCACAGTATTGGAAGGCAGAGCGCATCCCTCTCCTTCACTGCCTTTTACCTACCCAACTGAAGTCAGGTGCTAGAGTACCCTTTTTTCACCTTGGTAAAGTGAGGAAAGTTGGCTAACTTGGCTATAACTTACATTAAAAAAAATATGTGCAGTGATATCAGGACCTACAGTGAGAAGGAAGAACAGGTTCAGCCACACAAGTGCACATGTTGATTGTCTTGTTCTGTATTTCAGGTCTGAGGAGGCGAATAAGGCATTTTCCTCTGCAGTCCAGATGCACGATACACTGATAAAGGCCTGGGCACTCTGGGGAGACTATCTGGAGAATATCTTCACCAAGGACAGGTTAGTTAAATCATTAACTAAACTCATAAACATATCTTTACTATTTAACTAACTCATAATCGTAATAGGTAGTGTACGACGGATAAAATGTAGCTGTGGGCCTTTGTAGATTAGACCTGTACTTCCCAGGGGAGACATTTTTAATGTCATTTTCCCTTATCAGGAGGGGGACTTGTGAATATACCTGTGGGCTTTCGTAGTGCATGATGGATAGAAAATTAATGTACCTGTGGGCCTTCGTAGTGAGTGACAGATAAAAATGTACCTGTGGGCCTTCGTAGTTTAGTCCTTACATATACTTCCCAGGGGAGTCATTTTTGACTTCATTAGCCTCATCTGTCCTTCCGAGGACTCATGAAATGTATCTGTGGGCCTTAGTAGGGGATGACAGGAAAGAAAGTACCTGTAGGCTTTCGTAGGTTGTACTTCATTGTATTTTCCCATGAGAGTCATTTTTCACTTCATTAGCCGTTATCTGGTCTGTCAGTAGGAGGACTTTCGTTCACATCCCTCGTTTGTCACACAGCTACAACCATTTTTCACTTATCGAGGTTCTAGACAGGTTTTAGACAGGGCATCAGTCAACTGCTGGTAACGGTTTTTCACAGAAGGAAGGCAGCCATTAAACATGGTTAGAACATGACCTTGAAAAGTTTTAAATGTCCTTGGTGGTTGTCTTACCATAGAAAATACGTCCTTTACATATCAACGACTATATGAGCAACTTTGTCATGTTCAACTGTTTTTTTTCCAGTTGCTCACATATACAGCCAAAGAAAGGATATTTGGTATTCCCCTTTTTTGTCATCATTCCTTTTGTAGGTATAATCCAATCTTCTAGAAGCATCAGTCAAGTTATTTTGCAAAAGGCTCTGGTCATGATTTATTCAACACTAATGTAAGTTAGATCTCTATGATATTACATTGTGAGCTTCAGACATCAGTCAAGGTATTTAGCAAAAAGGTAAATTTGGCAGCAAACCTTCGTAGATTGATGAAACTCTATAATAGCTCTGGTTATGATATACATGTATGCTACACTAATGTAAGATACATTTGTTATTTTGCAAATGGAGAATTTGTCACCCAACTTAAGGTTGACAGATGAAACTCCATGGCTCTAGTTATGATATATGCTACACTAATGTAAGTTACATCTATGATTTTACTATGTGAGCTTCTGGGTCATCAGTCAAGTTATTTGGTCAAAAGGAAAATTTGTCACCAAACTTAAGGTTGACAGATGAAACTCTATGGCTCTGGTTATGATATATGCTACACTAATGTATGTTACATCTCTGTGAGTTTACAATATGAGCTTCTGCATGTAGAAATATCAATCGAGGTATTCAGCAAAAAGGTAAATTTGGCTCCAACCTTCGTAGATTGATGAAACTCTTATATCTATAGCTCTAGTTATGATATATGCTACACTAATGTAACTTACATCTATGATTTTACTATATATGTGAGCTTCTGGATTATCAGTCAAGTTATTTGGTCAAAAGAAAAATTGTCACCAAAGTAACACTAACGGATGAAGGTCTATGGCTGTGGTTATGATATATGCTACACTAATGTATGTTACATCAGATGAAATTTACAATGTGAGCTTCTAGATACATCAGTCAATGCATTTAGCGAAAAAGGAGAATTTGTCACCAAAGGTACATCGACAGATGAATCTCTATGGCTCTGGTTATGATATATGCTACACTAATGTATGTTACATCTCTGTGAGTTTACAATATGAGCTTCTGCATGTAGAAATATCAATCGAGGTATTCAGCAAAAAGGTAAATTTGGCTCCAACCTTCGTAGATTGATGAAACTCTTATATCTATAGCTCTGGTTATGATATATACACTAATGTAAGTTAGATTTACATGTGAGCTTCTGGATTATCAGTCAAGTTATTTGGTAAAAAGAAAATTTGTCACCAAACTTACACTGACAGATGAAAGTCTATAGGTTTGGTTATGATCGTGATATATGCAACGCTAATGTAAGCTACATCTCTGTGAAGTTCATTGCTTTGACAATGTGAGCTCCTAGATGCATCATTTTGCAGGAATCGATTTGTCACCAATCCTTACACATGTGAGTGTTGTGTCAAAGATATAGGAAATGATTATGCAGTATATGATTTTGATATTCCACTTCCTGTTTTGTTGCTGCGTTGGCAGATGTTGTGTATGTAAGCTTTCAAATAATTCAAATGATATCTAAGGCAATTTGTCACAAACTCTATTATTTGTCACAAAAAATATAATACAATTGAATTTCCTTTTTTCATATTATTTAAGCTTTGTGTTAGCTTTTGATGCACCGTACAAAATTATTGACATTTACAAAGTTAATTCAAGCCACACCAACATATTTCCTTCATTCCCAACCAATTAAATTAGTGTGGCCTAAACTTACAGAATCTGTTATAAAATCTTTCAAGTCATCATTCAAATGTATACTATAGAGATCCATCAATTAGCAGTCTTGTCCCAGAGGACCCCTCTACAGTATACAGAAGTAGCATCCATTTACATAACATATCCACAAACCAATAAATTAAATTTGTGTGGCCTAAAGTTCAGAACTTCAGATACATTGTTCTTCAGCATTGCTTTAATTTACAGTAATGATACAATCTTTCACTTCATCATTCTAGCAATCATTTGTCTAGAACCATCCATCTACAGTTCAGTCCCAGAGGACCACTCCACAGTAAAACTAGCCATCCATTCACATAACATATCAGGCACTTTGTTTCTCCTGTTGTGTCCCTGGGGGGGAATTAAAGACCGGAGAGAAAGGATTAACAGGAAGACAGATTGGCAGGGAAATTATACTGAGTGGTCGTCAGAGGGAGGGTCTGGGGATGTAAGGCTGGTTAGAAAAGTATACAAGTTGAGAGTTCTTACCAAGTTAGACATTAGAATCAGCATCTGTAGGGATGTAAGTTGTGGGTAAAATCTTCAAAAGTTGGGAACTCAAGAATTTGTACTGAGACAAATTTAACATGATTGATCTAAGGCTTGTTGGAAAAGGCTTCAAAACTTCTGAACCAAAGTCTTTTTACCTAGTACATGTATATATTATGTAAATGTGGCTTATTTTTTAAGTTGGAGAACAGATTGATTGTTCCATTTGTACTTTTAAATCTTTGACTAAATGTTCTGAACTTTGGTTGCCCATAAAAAGTGCAGCACTTTTCCTTGTACTTAAAAGGCTAAACCCTGTCAATGGTCGTTCACCTCTGTAAAAGTGTGCTTTTAATAGAATTAATCCTTCCATGCACTGCCTGTATAACATATTACATGTACCTGGCCCCATCACAAGTTCAGTAGAAGTGATTTGATTGATTTAGATGTGTTTTGTGACTTGTCCGGTTGTCAACTATGTTTGTATAATGTCTGTATGTATGAATACCAGGAAGACTAGCGGTGGACCCCAGGGTCCACCGCTAATGGTTATTCTAATAAAGTTTCAAAGTAGATAGAAAAACTTGTCTTATGTGCAGCTCTTTTATCAGTATTGAAAAGGCTAAATGGTGGTCCAACCCGTTGAAAAAGTGTGCTTTTATAATAAAATTAATCTTCTAAAGCTTGTATAGCATATTACATGTACGTGATTATGACCCCAACACAAGTTTTGTAGCATGAAAAATTCCTCATTGCATGGAAAAAGTTCAGCTCTTTTATCATGATTCAGTACATTTTGAAGGCTAAATGGTCGCTCACCCTGTAAAAGTGTGCTTTTAATAGAATTAATCCTTTCGCAGCCTGTGTATAATGTCACCACAGGTGTTCCTTTCTCTGCCTTCTCTACCCATTAACACAGCAGGACCACCTTTTACACTGGGCTGGTGCGCTAATCCATACTGACAAGGGGCGGTTAGTGTTAGGCCACAACAATATATCTATTGGTTCTCAGATTTGTCTGGTTCACTTTTTTCTGATTAATTTTGCAAATACACTCACTCACTACCCAGTTTATCATCTGTTGTTCCCCGTCTTCCCAGGGTTAGACATGCTTGCACACTGATGCTATTCTAAAATGCTCATATTATGGCCCAAACAGTTGAAGAAAGTCCTTTTCTTCCAAGTTGTTACTAACATTTTTTCCATCTAATACTGCAATAGTTTGATGAAAAGTTCAAAATTCAAACCAGTCAGGTATATTGACTTCATGGCTCCTATCTTTGCATTTGGGACTATCATAGGATGCCTTGGTCTGTTTTTTTTTGGGGGGGGGGGGGCTTTTCACGAAAAAATCTGAGAACCATCAAATTAAATCCCTATGGCCTAGCATGGCGAGGAGCATCATTTACGCTCCGCGGGCGCGCTAATCCCCACTGAGAACGGGCAGTTAAAATCTGTGGGTCGAAAGCAGTTTTTCCTGTCACAGTGATGCGTCATATCTTTTCTCCCAAAAATCCAAAAACCAGTAAACCAGATTAGTGTTGCCATGCCCTAACGCTGTGGGGAGCACCATTTACGCTCTGCGGGCGTGCTAATCCCCGGTTAGAGCGGGCAGTTAAAATCTGTGGGTCGAAAGCCAGTTGTAGCATTTGTGGCTACCAAAGGATGCCTAGGCCTTTTTTTCTAGCCCTGTCACTTCATATTTTTTTTTTAAAACCAACAAATTGAGTTTCTGTGGCCTATAGCGCGGCGGGGAGCACCATTTACTCTCTTCGGGAGCGCTAATCCCCGGTTAGAACGTGTAGTTAAAATCCGTGGGTATGTTGACTTCATGGCTCCTATCGTAGCATTTAGGGCTGTAATAGGATGCCTAACCATACTGTATATTGTTGCCCCGTCACTTCATGTTTTCTCTAAAAAAAATCCAAGAACCACCAAATCAAATCCCTGTGGCCCAGCGCGGCAGGGAGCACCATTTAGGCTCCATGGGCGCGCTAATCCCCGGTTAGAGCGGGCGGTTAAAATCCGTGGGTCGGAAACTGGGCGGTTAATCCTCGGGCATGTCTGAGCACGTGCGGAGAA